CGCTTGACCTATACCGCGCTCCGCCTTTCAAATCGTCAAATCGATAGACAGCAATTTCCAAGCGATTTTTTGATCTGATACACGGAACTTTCTTTCGGAACGTTGCTGAAATGCTGATCGAGTGCCTGTGACGGCGTAATTCCTTAACATTCGTCCTGAATCTTCGAGTTGCCATATTCAGATCATGGAATACTATCTTTGTAACCTTTGATGAGGTTAAATGCAATAAATCTAACTTTTTGGACCGAATCTACATGCCCAATGCTAGAAAACCTGATCAGAGACATAAAAGGAAACAGCGGCAGAAGCTTTGCAGTCCTCTTGTGGTGGCTTTTATATCAAACTCAAGCTACAGGAATATAAATGACGTTTCCTAGGAACACCTCTCTCGTACAAAGGATCTGCGATGAACAAAGGCTTTACCATCAAATTTACTGGTACGTACTGAAGCTAGAATTGATCTTCCTATGCTTGATTATCCTTTAAGGAAGACGGTTGTGGTCACCGGAGGAAGTTGTGGCATTGACCACGCATTCATCTGTGTGAAGGCTGGGGTGAACGCCGCTATCATCTATCGGTCCGCTAAAGATGTGGAGATAGTTGCATTCAAGGTCGCACAGGACTATGGTGTCACCGCCAAAACGTTACAGTGAGAGGTTTTGGATGCAGATGCAGTGGTCAGGTTCATAAGAGGATGAATGACGAACCAGGCCGGATCACTGACGTTGTCGCTGTGAGTCCATTTCTATTCCTTTGCTTCATTTGACTCACGTGGCTCCCTAGAAAGGATGCCGGAGTCTCGGTGGTCAAGCCAGCGCTAGAACTGAACGCCGATGATTTCCACCGCGTCTTTTCTATAAACGCACTTGAAGTATATTTGATGCGATCCTATTACCTTGGATTCTATTGACATACGGGTCCCTCAGTTTCAATACGTGCAAGGCTGCTGCAATATGGGTTACCTTCCTCTCTGATGACGTGATGTGAGACTGAGACTAGATATCTTTCGGTGTATAGATGGAAAAGAAACGGTGGTATCGATTGTCATCAATCCTTCATGCCATCTCAGCTCATCAATTAATCTGGCCCGGATGAGCCCCTCACTCAGGTATATTTTTGTGACCTCACCGCCAGAGAGTATATTCATACACTCTTCGATCCTTTTTACCGCTCGTCAGAGGCTGCCGTATCGAATTTCTGCAAAGAACCAGTCGCAGATGGGACTTGCCATAATATTCGCGTCGATGCGACCAGCTAGGATACGTCGATATTGATCAGACCAATAGCATGGATGCCACGATTTGCGACCATCAAGCACTTTGCCTAGGTAGGTATACTCAGTAGTGATTCTACTGAGGGCTCATCACTGTGACTCTAGTCAGATGAGATGGTAGGACGAACCTTGCTACTCCTCTTTGACTTTGAAGTCGACATAATTGGCGGTGAATGTTTCGTAAATGGGTGACTAGATGCTTCTCCCAACTTGGCTTATCTGGTAATCAGGTCTACAAAGTTAAGGAGATGGCATGTCAATGTCAGGGACTCTGCTGATTTCGCACCACCAAAAGGAGGAAGATGAAAA